GTAATGTATGGGGATTAACATAATTAAAAAAAAGAATTCGAAAAACAAAGTGAATTAGTGAACCCTAATGTAAAAAAGAACCGCTATACCTACCATCCATATACTGTAAATATGTAAACTTTAATATCAAATCAGAATTTAATGTCAATGGCAGTAAATGAAAAACAAAAATGCAAATTAAAAAGTAACACCTAGTATAATTGATACTCGACAGAAAAAATAGAAAATCGCATTATGAAAATATGTAAAATAAGCCAATACCAAGAGGTTAACAGCTATTCTCCCTGTTTCTAGGGCATGTTTTCTTAATTTTCTTCTCTCTCTACTTTAAGTCAAGCTGTTTAGTCAAGACTAGGATAGCTGGGGGGCACCCGGCTGGCTCATTCGGTGAAGCGTATAACTCTTGATCTCGGGGTTGTGGATCCAAGCCCCACACTGGGTACAGAAATGACTTAAAAATTAAAAAAAACTGGGGCGCCTGTCTGGCTCAGCCCGGGGAGCATGTGACTCTCGATCTCCGGGTCATGAGTTCAAGCCCCATGTTGGGTGTGGAGCCCACTTCAAAACAACAACAACAACAACAACAACAACAAAAAGTATAAAAAAAATATGATGGCTTTTGTGGCTCGGTCCCTGAGCAAGGTCAGCCAAAGGGGCTGCCTGGAAGCTCCTGGTGTGTGGGGAGCAGCACGTCACGCTCTGGAGAGAGGCAGTGGGCAAGGTCCCGCCTCTGCAGCTCAGCTGTGCTGGGGCGAGGACATTATCACGTCCCCGGTTCTACAGAAAGAGAAGTTCTCTATGTTCCCCTTCTCCCAAATAACAAACCACGAGGCCACAGGAGCAGAGGAGGAAGGGTTCTCCAGGGCGTGCAGGAGGGCCCAGGGGAGACTGCCCCTAGAAGTCACACGACATCACCCAGGCTGGATGGCTGCTTGCCTCTTTACTCTGGAGCCGGAGACCCCACTTTCTCATCTGGTCCTGACACCAGTGCCTCTGTCACTTCCAGATGCTCTTCTGCCTGTCTCTGCCTCAGCCACTCTGGACGGGAGGACAGCTGCTGGGCCCTGCCCGCAGAATTCACCTCCTTCTCCGGGCCGCCTTCGTCACGTCACGGCACACTCGTGCAAATGTGGAGGTCACCCGCAATGCTCCAGGGGCCACTTGGAGGCCAGGGAAGCTCTGTGCGACACTGAGCAACCTTGACGCTTTCCGAGATCTCTCAATACCCAGGTCAGTGCTGCCCTTTCACACCTGCCCACAAGCCTCAAAATCCACTGACGGACGGTCCTGCCGGGACACAACCCTCCTGCCACACTCAGGGCGACGAGCACTGAGGGCGGAGTCTGACTTCTGGCTGGTGCCTCACACTGTCCCCCCTCTTACACAGGCCCCACTTCCTGTCCTCGGTACCACTGTTCTGTCCCTGACGGCATGGCCGCTCCAGGAAGCGGCTGCATCGAAACACGAGGAATGCACAGCATTGAACAGGATGAGCCGGACTTCTGCTGGTTTTCTACCAAACCACAGGAACACCTAGAAGCCCAGCACTTTAAAGAACCACTAAAGAACTGCATCTCTCCCCCAGTCTTGCTTTAAGCAGGAAACCCGAATGCACATTCTGGGACTACCTGAGTGGCCGTGGCCACCCTACCACTCCCTCCCTCTACTGGGACATCGGCGCAGCCACCATATGGGTGCCGGCCCGTCCAGAGCTGCTCCATCCGCCCCTCCTGGCGTCACGCCTGAGAGCTGCGTGGATGCTTCCAACGGCTCAGCCAGCTCCTCCCTGCCTCCTCCTGGATCCTCAAGTCTGACGTAGGGTGTGCCCAAATCTAGCACCCTGAGCTGTGCCAGGAACGGATTTCAGTCTTTTTACCAGACTTTGTGGAAGGAAACAGACCGAGATGGAGGAGGAAGGGGTTGATTCACCTGCAGTTTAAATAGATTTTAAGTGGGAACTTTTTCACTGGGAAGCTTAATGGTTAATATTGGGATCTTATAACACAGTGATCAGAAATAATGTGTTAATAAATCCAGGAAATCCATTTCCATGTTCACCATCACCACTACCTCCAGATGGTGAGAAGTGTCCACAGATGTGTCTCACAGTGTCCCTGCCCCGCGGCCCGCACACCACCCCGGAGCCCCCGAATGCACGCAGGGAGACCTTCCATGTCGAGCAGGTAGCACCCCGTTCTCACCTCCACTCTTGAGGAGGTAGCGGTTGACGTCCTGTATGGTGGTATTGATGGTGGGCCCGGTGGGGACACTTCCAGGAGTGACGTCAGGGTCGTTCTCAGGGTCTATATTCTGAAGTCCTTTCCATGGAACTCCAGGATGGAATTCTGGAAAATGCCAAACAAAATGGAAAACAAGGGTGCCTGGGTGGCTCAGTTGGTTAAGCGACTGCCTTCGGCTCAGGTCATGATCCTGGAGTCCCGGGATCGAGTCCCGCATCGGGCTCCCTGCTCAGCAGGGAGCCTGCTTCTCCCTCTGACCCTCCCCCCTCTCATGTGCTCTCTCTCTCATTCTCTCTCTCACAAATAAATAAATAAAATCTTTAAAAAAAAAAAAAATTAAAAAAAAAATTAAAAATGGAAAACATAACATGAATATTACAGTATCTTCACATTCCTTCGTGACAATTTATGGAAATTCTTATAATGTGCTAGTTAAAACAGGAGACACATCCTAGACTTTCAGTAAATCATCAATCCTCTGGAACAAGCTAGAAGCAGGGATTAGAGCTGCCACATTAAGAGAGTGTTCAGACGGTGTGGAGTCTAGAAACAGTGTGGCCAGATGCAATACAGCGTCCCTTCTCCTTCCGCTCCTCTCACTGAACTAGGGGATTACAGGAAAGCGCTGGGTGCTAACCACTTCCCAAATTCGTGTGACAAACGGATTTCCAGTGGAAAAGCCAAAGCTATGGCGTTCATGCTTCCAGGACTCTCAGCCCAGACCCTGGCTTCTCTGGAGCGGGACCTCTGTCCTCAGACTTGGGGCGGCTCTGATCTGCTGCTGCACGGAAGTGCCGCATGCTCTCACCTGGGGGCCAGTTGATGCTGGAGCCATTGGAGATTTTATCACTGTCAGACTTGGCACGTGACCAGCTATGGGGAACCGCTACAGGAGGACTGGCTGGTGACTCACTGTTCTGGATTAAATCGTACCGGCCGTAGGAGTCGTCGATGGAGGACTTAGCTGGAGGCCCAACGCTTAGACCTCCAGGGATAGCACCTGGGGGGACAGCAGGAGACAAAGAGCTGAGTGAACAGGGGAGCCCCTGAGCCCTCACTGCTAGGCACCGGGCCCTGCCCCTTTCAGAGGTACATGAACCATCAGACTTGGTTTGTCCCGCACTCTCTAAGGATAAGTGACTATTTTGGTTAGCCTAAAATTTGTCTGTGGAAGACCAAAATTCTTTTTATTCTTTCAAGATTTTATTTTTAAGTGATCTCTACTCCAATGTGGGGCTCAAACACACAACCGTGAGACCCGGAGTTGCACGCTCAACCGACTGAGCCAGCAAGGCGCCCCAAAACCAAAATTCCTTAAGAACCATTTTAGTTTGTCGAGTTGGAAATCTTGATAAAACACAAACCCGTATCATTGAAAGCGGGCCTGTGCCTTTCTGGGACCAGCTTATGAGTCTCTGTGCTTAGCGATGGACTCTGTGGTTGCGTGCGTCCTGCCCTCCCTCTGGAAGGACATACTGGGCATGTGAACACAGGGCCCTTATCTTCTGGACTGGACCACCCGGCCAGGGGTGGCTGTGCTCTCCTGCCAAGGAAAGTGCCCAGGCAGCCTGTGATGATTCTCTTGTAGAATTAACCGTTAGGAAAAACTGTGTTTTTCCTTTTAGAATATTTACATCAAGAGAGAATCATACAGGGCGCCTGGGTGGCTCAGTCGGTTAAGCGTCTGCCTTCGGCTCAGGTCATGATCCTGGAGTCCCTGGATCGAGTCCCGCATCGGGCTCCCTGCTCGGCGGGGAGTCTGCTTCTTCCTCTGACCCTCCCCCCTCTCATGTGTTCTCTCTCTCTCATTCTCTCTCTCTCAAATAAATAAATCTTTAAAAAAAAAGAGAGAATCATACACCTATTACATTTTCTCTTCCATTTATGCTATCAGGAAACTGGGAGCTAAAGTTAATGCTTACTAGTGAGGTCGCTGCCTCTGGTTATTAGCACTTTTGCTTCTTCCTTTTTTTCAAGGCATCTGATTTTCTACTGTGTTTTATCATTTTATTGAAAAAAATTTCTTCTCAGTAAACGAATTTTTTTGTTGAAGAGTACAGATATAAATAAAAAATATGCAGCTATGACCAATATTCTTTGCTACTCTGGGGCGTTTTCAACTCCTTCTGTGTTTGTAGCAAAGATCTGGAGGCTGAGGTTTCAGGAAGTTTGACTGTGCACTAGCTGGGATCTTACACATTCTGTGATGGAACGGAAGATTCCATTCTAGTGGAATTCTCAGACAAGAGATGCAGTGTGAGTAATAAAAGGAGCATGCTCTACAACCGGACAGTCAGCGAGTGGAACAGCAGCGACTGGACCACAGGCACCCCGGCTTGGACATACCATGCTTGCTGGGGTTCTGATCAAGGGGAGCAGCAGCACCGGGTAAGTTGTCCATCGGGTTGGGGTGTGTCCACTGAGGGAGGCGTGACTGGGACTGAGACGGGTCCTTCACCGACAAACCACCAGTCATGTCCATGCTGTTGACATTCATGTTTGGGTTCAGTCCGGCTACAAATAAAAATGCTATTAGGATATGCCTGCTCTTCTTCTAAATTTTATTACATCCTAAAGCTCTCCTGGAGAATCAATCTAAGTCTTAACTCATGGCCACAGACTTAACTCTTAACTTTTAATGCTGGTAGAAAGAAAAGCTTTTTGTCTTTTTAACAACACATATTTCCAGGAATATTATTCCCGAATTAAGGTGAAATGGTAATGAATATTCTCTAGTTAAGTAAGACCAATGACTCTCTTCATTTCACTTGTTTCAGAGCTAAACACGGTCCCGGTGCTCCTCAGAACCCACAGAAAGACACGGCAAGTCCAGACAATGAGGAAAATCTTTTCTGATCTTAGGATATCTTAGGGAAACTCAGCAGATCAGGACAACTCCTTCAGAGTTCTAGACAGTGTTCTAAAGTACCAGAACAGGCTGGTAGGGATAATTCCATTCCACCTTTAGTGAATTTACTTTACGAAAGTCTGCTCTTCAGGAGTTTATAAATATCAGACTCCTTTTAAGGACTTGACCTATTGGAGGGCGTGGCAGGGCTGCCATCTGCCCCCGGCTGGAACGGTGTGCCAATCCTGGGTTTTCTTTCTTACGGCTAAAAGCACGTGCTGCCGTTATCTGGCAACACCATGTCAGGTTACTAAAGAGGGGCGAGGAGGACGATATAGAGTCCCCAACGGGGACTGAATGCTCGGTGATGGAGAATAACCCCAGGATTCACAGACCATACATCCTGGTACGTCAGTCAAAGTGCATCTCTACTTGTAAGCAAGGTATTGAACAGGTTTGTTCTTGGCTTTAAATCCATGTCTGCAAACTCAAATGCCTACATGGGCCAGGCGGCTGTGAAGTGGGCCCAGTGGGGATGGTGGTGAACCTGACGGTGCCTGTCCCACCCGGAGTGCCAGCTGCTGGTGCCAGCCTGTGACAGCCACAGGGAAGGCAGACCCCACGGAGCCATTTTAAGAGAAGCAAGAAGTTACTTTTATTTAAAAATTTCCAATTTGTAAACGTTGGTAATTAACACACACACACACACACTTTGCAGATGAAACACACCACCTGGGCAGGTCAGATGCCGCCAGCGGCTGTCTGTGTGAGGTTGGCATGGACGGCAACCTTCGCTTCCATTTGCACACATGTAGTTGGGTGAGGGGACAGTGAGGCCGGGCTGCAGCCCGGCCTTCCAAGTGTTGGGCCTGAACCCATCTCCCCAGCTTGCCCGCTCATCTGTGGCCCCCCGCCACAAGTTAGCATGACTGCCCAGGGCACGCCCTGTCCTGCCAGGCTCTGGTCACTGAAGTCCTGCTCATCTGAGATCCAGGCTTGGCCCCTGCTCTGGGTTTTTCTTTCACCATTCATGGTGAACACCAGCTCTCCCTTCTCTGCAGCATTGCCTATGAAGCTGTTTTTCATTATTCTGTGCCTGATCTTCCCGTGTGGACGACAAATTCCAGCAGTTAAGAAACAGCAGAGTAAGGAGACGCTGCGTGGGAAGGAAGGTGGACAAAGCTACAACCATTGAAGAAAAATGCCAAGAACCAAGCAGAGAGGCAATTTTATAGGCTAAGTTTCTTATACTGGATCAGCTATTTTTTCTTTTTAAAGATTTTTATTTGTCAGAGAGAGAGAGAGAGAGCGCACAAGCAGGAGGAGCAGCAGAGGGAGAAGCAGACTCCCTGCTGAGCAAGGTGCCTGACGTGGGGCCGATCCCAGGACCCGTGATCATGACCTGAGCTGAAGGCAGATACTTAACTGAGCCACCCAGGCGCCCCTGATTAGCTATTTCTTTTCTTTCTTTTTTTCTTAAGATTTTATTTTTAAGTAATCTTTACACTCAATGTGGGGCTTGAACTCACAACCCTGAGATCAAGAGCCAGCCACGCATCCCGCTATTTATTTTCAATAAGTTTGTAAGTTTAATGTGAATATTATAAAATATTATCAAAATTATTTTTCATCTAATTTTGAAGAGCCACTGTACTAATTTTTTCATTTGTATTAAGAAAAAAATCTTTGAGAATAAAGATTAGTGTACTTTACTCTCCAAAAATAGGTTGAGAGGCCAGATGGACACTAGCAAGCTGAAGCGGAAGCTTTTCCGGGTAACAGACAACGGTTTCTGAAAGGGCTCCTCAACAAGATGGGCTTGTGTCTGGCTCACGTCTCACAAAGGGCTTGTTGCATGCAGCACTGTCCTGAGAACTTCACGTATTATCTCACTTAATCTTTAAAGGACCCCATGAGGTAGTAGCCCCACTTTAAATGGGGAATTGAGGCAGAGACAGTCGGGCAAGTCATGCAAGGAAGTGCTGAGCCAGCCCTGGTGGAGCTGGGACTCGGCGTGGCGGGTCACCTCTCCAGCCAAGCCTCGGCCACCAGACCGTCCTCCTCCGTGCACACAAAGGGCTGTGAGCGTGGGGCAATGAGAAAGGGATGGGATGATTACAGTTAGCATTCATCAGGTTCATATTAAGGACATACCATAAGGACTGCATGTCAAGGAGAACATGCTCGTACGATTAGGATTTACAGCTCTTTTCAGGGCAGTATTAAGGAAAGGGACACCATCAGCCAGTAGCAAACTCACTATCACGCATCTGACCTTTGCTCCTGATATGTATTTCCTGGGTTACTGGTTCCCTTTGTCCTGGAGCTTCATACTAACAGCCACCTAGCAGACAAGCCTGAGAGCGGTCACCAGGTTCTGGATTCTTCCATCAAACTGTTTCACGTATAATCCATTTACTGATATACCTCCCTGGGACATTTCCTCGATCCTGCCTGCAGTTATGTAACCCGTGCCCCTCCTGGCTGGCTTGTAGGACCTGGAGGGTGGCACCGTGTCTTCTGCCGACCCGCGGATTTCATGTGCTGAGCATGCTTCCTACAGGTTAGGGGTCAACACATGCATGTTGATTTGGCAGATTATACAAACCATCTTCTACACTACAAGGCTTGTATGGACAACCACTGCTTTCCAAGAAGTACCTGATTTTTAAAAATCTAAACACATTTACTAGTAAAACCATTATAAACTCATCCCTGCAGTTAGGTGGGGGATGGTGGCTGCTGAAGAGCAGGAAACCAGGAACAGAACAAACTGATTTGACAGCAGAAATGAGGGAATTCTGGGGCTCTCGCTGGTGCTCCTTTAAAAGACTTTACACTAGAAGGTATTTATGGCCATAGCAGAATTTCGCTCTGCAGAAGATGGCCAGTGGTGCTCGCCTTGGGAGAGAGCGCCGGCCCGCAGTGCGGGGACTCACCTAGAGGGTAAGGAGCAAAGGTGCTGGGTGAAGACTGTGGCTCTTTGGTCTGCAGGTCGGGCAGGCCGGGGGCCTGGGGGTGGGGGGGGAAGCTGTCCATGGCCGATTTGCCTGCAGAGGGGTGCAGAGACAGGTGCGGCGGGGGCGGCGGCGGCTTCACGAGCAGGGCCTGGGCCAGCTGGCGCTGGTGCTGCTGGATCTGCTGCTGCAGGTTAGTGATTGTGCGCGCAACCTGGCGGCAGAGATGCGAGTTGGAAAAGGTTTGAGAGTGGCGCACGTCACTTGTCTCCAGACCCAGGGCATTCAGTCTCCGCTGGCTGGACCCACCTGCTCCCAAACCAAGGTGACCCCGAGACTGCTAAAAGGGGGGGGTTAGCGAGAGAAAAGTCAATGACAACATAACAGTTTGCCCTCTAGCAACTTCAGATCAGGCAAGATGGGCGCTAGCGAGTCCAGCTACACTCCCCAGGCGATACCTACTTGCTGCTCCTGTTGTCTCATGGGTCCGGAAACATTACGCTGAGCCTGTAGCATCTGCTGCTGGATTTGTAAACGTTGGTATGCCTGTTGACAGAAAACAGTTAAGATACTGTAAGAAAGCCATCAACAAATGATTCAACTTTTGTGTATTAAAAAAAAAGAGAGAGAGGGCGCCTGGGTGGCTCAGTTGGTTAAGCGACTGCCTTCGGCTCAGGTCATGATCCTGGAGTCCCTGGATCGAGTCCCGCATCGGG